TTAGGTGCACTTAGAATGGTTGCAAGTCAAACAGCATACAGGGTAGGTCAAACAATATCAAAATTATACTGTGAAGTACCCTTATTTTGGAAAATTCAGCGAAATGTTATAGAGAAAAGCTGTTTGGAATTAAAAGTTATGCCTGAACACGAAAACATAGCCTCCTAAAAAAAAAAAAATTTTTTTTTTCGAAAAAAATCTATAATTTCTATATTTTTTTTATTTTTTATTTTCGCCCTTAATACTGTCAAAAATTAAATAAAATCAAATCCATTTTACATAACTTTGTTTAAATTCAAGCATATTTGTAAAATTAACTTAGATTTTTAATTTTTTATGGAATCACAAAATTCATGTTTGTTACAATGATATTCAACACAACTTTAAAATGTTGCAATTTTTTTTTTAACAAGTTAGAACATTACTAATGATAATAGCCATATTGAAAAAACTCTCCTTAAAGTGCAAAAGTTTTATTTTATTTAAGTAAATATTTCTACAGCTACCCTGTATGCTGTTTGACTTGCAACCATTCTAAGTGCACCTAATATGATTATCAGACATGCACCAACTTTTGGCCTTGTTTGTATTTTGATTGTGCTATTACTAAAAAAAAATCCCATATGTTGCACACTTAAGTAATGACACTGTATATTGACGCTCCCCTCATAACTTTTCAAGTGGTACGCGAAAAAAAATTCTACGCAAAAGTTGTAGCGTTTTTTTCTTCATTTTATTTAGATCAACTACTTGAGGGTCATGAAATGGGTCCGCCCTTATTAATCCAAATATCGATGTGCTCTGTCCCACGGCCAAAATAATTCGTTTATTTGTTCAGCAGGATCTGTTCGTCTAATGACGTGTCAGATTATGGTCAGAAAATATAGGCCTGACAAATCTTATTCGAGAAATTACCATACCAAATTACACCAACGCGGTGATGATTTCTACCCGTGGAGATACAAGCACGTTGAGGTGATAAAGTTCCCTAAGAACTATCGTCCAATCAGGCTACTACCTGCCTCGAGCAAAGTTGGATATCAAAACTAAAATTGCTGCCAACACCTAGGGTGAAAACTTCGCGGTTTTAGAAATATTTAATAATGATCCGGACGGCTTTCGGAAAACTCGGATTTGTCATTACCACTTCATCAGATACAACATATCAAAAAATCAGAAATACCTAATTTCATGTTAGGTAAAATGTACCAATTCCATAGACTAAATTTGTTTAATAAAAGTTTTCACTGTTTGTGAAGTGAATCTAGTGTTTTATTTGGAGTCCGTGACAATACTCAATCGCAGGTTAATAGAATTGAGCTCCACAAAAATTGCATGTGTATAAAAAAAGCAAAACCGTTTACCCTCGTTCCAGCACAATCCCGTGATTCATTGTTTCAGGACTGCAAGCTTCGAACCTTCGTATACATACACACACGTACGCCGAACCAAATATTTTTTGCCAGTCTGGGGGTATAAATTATAATTTGGGGGAACTAACCGTATAACGCTTTTTAACGACACTTATAATGCGCGCTGGTCTTGAAATATGAAATTATGATTAGACGAGGATTGGGATTTCTTCTAGAATGAAAAATGAGACCTAAGATTTTGTTTATTTTGCCTATTGATAAAGGAAATGGCAACTACACGTTTAAGACCCTGTTTAAGACACGCCTTCAATTATCATTTTGAATAAAGCATAATTATTATTGAGAATCATAACTGAACATTTAACTTTATTGTAAAATTGGAATGTAAGAATCAAATACCCTCTACCTTTGTCAGTCTGAACCTTAGTTTAGGGATCTTTGAACTTGAAATAATTACGTTGGAGAGTTGTTTATCGGAATATTTCGACGGTTGTGTATTTTATTAGTTCTTCCAAGAATTTTCTTCATCTAACCATGGAACTTAATATAATTCAGCAAACTAGGAAAGATGTAGCCTAATAAACTTCTTGCCCCCTAAATTTGATGTGTTGTTCGTCAATTTTCTGGGAGGAAATACGGAAATACTTTATCCTCTGGAAAAAGTCCGAAAGAATGTTATAGTTAATTAGTTAGCTAGTCATAGAAAATGTATCTGCTTTGTTGTTGTTCACAACTCTATAGGTCTGTTATCGTATTATTATCATAGTTTATCGCATTGAATAAAAAATGCCCCTCTTCTACATTGATATTTTATTGTTTAGGTATGTATAAAGTTATATTTGCAGAAGAAGTTGTATTTTTTCAAACGATAATTTCTTGTTATTTTTTTGAAGAAATCAGAAGGAGGGCGTTATTTAAACGATAGTCATATAGATCATTTTGATAGGTACCAAATTCATACATGAAAGCGTTCTAACAAGGAGTACACGGAGCTGCAGAAATGTATCGCATAAGGTCGCATAAGCTCACATTTGGCTGGAACCATATTTGTTGGCTATCATTATTTGCGCTTGGAAATATTATTCTGCTAGATGAAATAGTTTTCAACGATGCCCAGCTAGCAATCCGATGACTCGACGTGCAGCTTCTGGGAAACCGAAACCGAAAATTCTTTGCTGAAACTTAAATGAATTGACGTGAGGGCACCACCAGGACCACTCCAGGTCCGGACAATTTTGATTCGGTGGGTGAAGGTGTATGGCCGTTCTTAATCTGTGAAAATTCAAATACTTTTTTAAAATAAAATTGCCATGTATAAAGTCAGGCTCACTAACCATGCTGTTCAGACATGAACTTTTTCAGGGTTTCAAGCATGTGTTTGCTTCAACCAATAGCGAAACTCACGTAACCATCAGTACCGGCAAGTATTTCAAAAATTATTAACACCATTTGAACTTAATGTTGCTTCGTCTGAAGAAGGTATATTTATTGCGAAATTATTATTCGCATCTCGTCATCAGCAAGTTTCGAAAGTATGCTCTTCTTAACATATTTTATACTCCCTTAACAGTGCTTGCTAGAAGCTCGCGCCCCGGGAGTTATTGCACATATTACAGCAGTGTAATTTGCATGCAATACTAATACCTAATTCCATTTAGTTGATATTTTAATACTGTTTTATCACCAAGCAACCTAAAACTATGAATGCATTTTAAATCTTCAGGAAGTCGAATATAACACTTTACACTTTGGAGCATCTAACAATAGGATTGGTTCTTGTGTAAACTTGATATATATATATATATATATATATATAGTGTATTGACCTCTTATATTGTAATTATGCATGTTATACGAAAATTTGTGTATTACATTTCTGCTGTGTATGAATTATTTTAAACGTTCCTAGCGCTAGCATTAGTTTCTCGAAATTGGGTACTGATTAAATTATTCAAGAACCGTTTGTTTACAGGTTATTTTTCATTTGTTTTGTTTATGGTTAGGATTTTTTGAGCTAGGTACTTTGATTTGATCAATGTAGCAGCGAAAACTCATTTATTTCATTTTAGTTATTCAATATTTTGTTGACGAATTTCCTTTGTTGTCATATTTTTCTGTGATAGTCAGCTGTTTAGACGAGGTATGATGTTTGGCGCAAGCTGTTTTGTAAATTTAGGTACGCACGACTCTATCGGGTTTTCATTAATCCTTTTGATGCTTTATTTGAATTTGCCTGTCTTTGTTAGTTTCGTGAATTGCGGTCTTCCGGGATCACATAGGTAGTTTTGTTTGAGTCAACCTATCTGCAACAGAGCAGGTTATGAATGGTTGTCCTTTTAAGGGAAAAACTTGTAATTTCTCGGACTTGTAATCAGCTAAGTGAAAACGTTTCAAAATTTTTGGTAATTTCCACCTTAAATTGGGAATTCATTGGTTTACGGATAGACAGTTAAGCCCACGCGAATATTGCTTCAAACGAATGTTCTATATGGACGTCTTTCAGTTTATTTTACAAAACAAAACATCAATTTTTTATCAAAAGCACTATTTGCTTATCACATCGGAAATGTAGTCATAACATTTATAGATTGCACCATTTTTCTGCCTCCTGCAGGCACTTAAACTGAACCCAAACCCATTTTCGCTAACAATTATTAGTAAACTATAATTACTATCCCAAACCTGCACCATAAAAGGCAACTTTAGTACAGTTTTTGCAAAAAGTTTCTATAAAAGCCGATCCTGAATTCAGAGGCAACAAGAAACTGTTATTGCAGATATTAGGACGGGACAAAAACTCAAATGGGAAACTTATTTGATATCCTTTCTTTCTATATTGGATGCATGGACGACAGGACATTGGGTTGTTTGAAATCTCTGAACGAAGATATCTCATTTTACGCTTTTTACCTAATTGTGTTTTTGTTTCAGAGATACCTACACTTGCACACGAATCCTTATTTCGATAATCCAACACATCAAATTTGAAATCAAATTTTGATCAATTTAAAATATGTACCACCCTCAATAGCAATACCTGAGTTAAAATATTTTAGAGAAATTAAAAATGGGGTTTCAGGGAAACTGAAATTTTCAAAATACCTATATATTATGTATACAAGTTCCTATGCATAATGTATAAATGTAGATGTCTAGAATTATATAAAGCCAGAGATGCGGATTAAATAAAGTAGAAACTCTACCACATTGTATTTTTTGTCAAGATAATACAAATTATGTTATATTCTATGAAAATTAATATTCTCAAAAGCTAATAATCATGTTGCACGCCGAAGTAGTGTAAAATGTAGCTAAGTACTATTAATTTAAATTAAGCTTCTCGTGGATCAACAAATGAAATTATCGCCAAAATGTTAGCTTTAATAATATTATTTAATTAAATTAGGTATATTAATTTTGAAACTATAACATTGATTTGTGCGTAAATCTTTTCAACGGGTAACTAAATAAATTTCAAATATGTATTGCGGTCGATGAAAAAAGTTTTCAGCGTATGCTAAAAGCTTATGAATATTCACAAGACTATGACATGTATGTGTGTGATATATCACAATAACGTATGGCATAATTCCAAAAACTAATTACAATCCATATATTAAAACTCACCGTTCAGGACGTGTACTCTGACGCTAGCCACATCTGCATTGGACGGGCTGCAAGAATACTTTCCAGAGTCCGATATGTCAGCGTGTTGAATTAATAGGAAACTTGTTGTTACATCGCCCTTCTCGGTTATAACACTCACGCCACCCCTGCTCGAATCGTAGCTTATAACCTGCAAAAAGCGATAATTTTTAAACGAGTTTACATTAGGTTTTCCGCTAAGTTTACTTTTAAACTTAAAACCTCAAGATAAACTACTTCGAAACTCAATATTTCTAATTTTTAAAGTAATTTTCTCTTGCTCTCATTTCGCTTCAAGACAATTTGGTTTTATTATCATGACTTTTAAACAGTTTTGAACTAACTTATAGCTGAATTTTTGTTAAAATAAATTTTATTCTAATGCAAGATGATCCAAGGCCGATTCACCTGTCTATTTCTTTTCTTTTAATTAGCCGAAACACGTTGACATTTTATTAATAAGGGCAATTTTTGTGAAATGTATATCAGTCCCTGAGCTACCCCATTTCCAAGCATTTTTTGCCTTGATTGCAACTCAAATTTAAGATTTAAATTTGTGCCAAGGTAGCAAAATTCCGAAAATATACAGCCCATTCTTTATTGTTCAAACACGATTTCTTTGATATAGTAAAACTCTTTGGTGAAACGGCCACAAGACGGATAAGAAAAGTCCTATTACTACTGTTTTGTAAGTGGGTTCGTAGGTTTCTTTTCCAAACTTAAATAAATTCTACTAAAAACAATAAAATCTCTTATAGAAATCTCTAATAAACGCCGATCGATATTTCGCTAGGCTAGAGCATTCTTTCAATGTCAAACTCCATCCACGATAATTTCAATCACCGGGCATACACAGAGGTCGGTCAATAACCACGACATACGGGTTTAAAAACCATATCTGCTATTTGCACATTTAAAAAACTTGATTACCGAATTGACAGGACTCTAAAGATGTAGTGCAGCGTGCCTTATTCATACAAAAAATTCGAATTGAGCCATTTACCTCATAATAGGAAAAAAATTCTTCTTTCTATTGCAAACGAGTAATTTTACTGTTTTTTGCCAAACTAATTCATGGTTAAATAAAATAGACTAGCATGTTGGAGTTCTTCTTTATAAAACATTTGCATTGCTAAAAATAGGCTGAACCAAACACAAATAGAGAAATTATTTTTGAAGCTGGTTATATACTTGAATGCTTATTAATCTTTTTTTACAAGCAAACACAATATTTTTTCGCCGCCAAAGGGTGGAAGTATATGATGCGTTGTAGGATTGTGCTCAGGATATGCCAGTTCGAGCCATAGAGAAATCGATAAAAAGAGAAATAATTTCTGGGTGATCTTGTCATCGAGTTATTCACAACAACTCCAGTTGTAGTAGGTGTCACGAACGTGGTCATGCATTGCCATGGAAATTTTAGAAAAATGTCAAAGACGAATAACTGAGGTCATCGCGAATCTCTTACAGCAAGATGATGAATCAAGAATAACTGGCTTTCAGTTGACATCTTGAAAATCGCGCTTCCATGTCAACTGTACAAATAATGAATGGTATTCAATTTCAAAATGGTATGACAAAACAACATGTAACTCAAATAACTGATCTCATAGTTACCAGAAAATCTAAGCTATTGAAATGGAGCTTGAAGTTCTGACCACCAAATTGTATGGTTGAAAACGATTGAAAGGTTTCTATATGAACATGAAGGTAAAAAATAAGGAAAGAATACCCTCTTATAGATAAGTAGCTGAAATGCGCCAAAGAAAGAGTACGACTAAATAAATACAGTTTATTTACTGAGAGAACAAAAAAAAAGCTGCACCAAAGGTCGTACCTACGCTGAAAATTGAAAAAAATAACAACTCGATTATGAACCGGAAACCACATCACAACCCAAAGATGATTTAAAATGTTTTACTTCTATGCTCCCAACACAGGTGATCCGGGCTGGACACAAGTTCGAGAAGAGGTCAAACTCTCTATCTCTATCCTCACCCCTCTCTATTGATTCTGTTGCGAGAGAACAAATGCGATAAAGAGTTCCATAACGATCGCTATCCCTTACACAGTGAGACCTCAAGGGTGCGACCCTGTTACTGATAGCGATAAATATATATATATATATATATCAATCTCTATCCACTTTAGATTGATTTTGTTGAAAGAGAAAATGAAAACAAGTGCGATAGAGGAGCAATAGCGATCGCTATCTGTTGCTTAGTGCTACCCCAGGGCTGCGACTCTGAACAAATAGCGATTACAATCTTTGTGTCTATCCGCGTTTCCTTTATATTGAAGTACCGTACCAAACAAGTGCGATATCATGAGCCATACCATTCGCTATCCGTTACAGAGTACGACCCCCAGGGTCGACGGACGTTGATACTTCTCTGTGTCCACATCATGGAACTGTGACATCAGAGTCTCATACATTGTACGTGTTTTTGTCCACAAATTTATGCCGCGCGTATTTACAAGCAGCAATAAAAAGTAAAAACGCATTTGAAAGTGGCTTTGAACCTTGCAAAAGCGATAGATATAATTTTCCTGTTCACAAACAACCCCTTTTTTTAGTCCCCGACCAGCAATTGGAAACTAATTTCCGATTTCTTCCAGCTCGAGAACGGAAACTTTTAAGATTGCCTAGTTAATTGTGTGTGTGTGTGTGTGTGTGTGTGTATGTGTGTTGCAGGTGTCATTTGCTGCAAAATTCAGGTTTCCTGCTCAAAGCAGCCTCTCTAGTTCTAAGTCCTTCAGAAATCTTAGGATATCCAGTGGTTCCAGAGATGAGATGTCATCTTACTGTATAAGGGGGTTTTCCAGATTCTTCATCCTTAGACGACTAACTCTCTATCCATCTCAGTTCAGTAGAAGGTGGTGAGGTGTCTCTTTTCCATCTTCACAGAATCTACAGATACCGCTTTCTTCTAACACCCATTTTCAAAGATGTTCCTTAATAAGTCTGCAGTGTTCCGAGTGAAACCCGGTAAGAGTTTTGAGACTTTTCTTGTTAAGGTTGACCAGTAGTTCTGATATTTTCTGGGTAAAATTACCCAATAGATCCTTGGCCTGTCGTGGTCCTGGCTATTCTAGCCATTGTTTGTTTCTTAGCCGGTTCTCTTCTTTTTTAAGGATTCCTTGGAATTGCGCATTACCGAGGCGACAGAATGGTTCTGGCCTAGTGAAAGGAGTAGAAGCTCTTGTTATCGCGAGTGTTCCAATATCTTGTGTTCAGGTTAAACTGAAAATATTGTAGGATTTTCAATTTCTTGGCTAATATGCTACTTTGTTTTGCTCTGGTGGATATGATTCCATATTGAACTATAAAGAAATAAATGAATAAACGACTATCTTTTCTGTGCCTAGATTTTATTACCTTGAGTACAGCCTTCTACTAAAAGTTTTTTGGTTCAGGTTCGTAATTGTAGTTAATTGATTAGGAAGGTTTGATTCAGTACGGCAGGGCCCGCTGTTATTGATTAGAATCTTATAAAAAGGAGAGAGTATCATCATCTCTAGTTGGCAAATCCAATCAAATAATCTGAGGTTAACATATTTGCTGTTGTTTACTTTTTTCGATTTTTCAGTTTCATGATACATCTGTCATTGAACAGCTGTCTTGTCTAGGCGTTTCCTTTGGACCTGTTCTACTTTTTGATATATGTTCTATAGACAATTTTCAACATTCACCGGTTATCTGGAGTCATTTATACACAACCCACTTTTCAGTTCGTATTTTTGGGGTGAAACTTAACACGCCCTTTTCTATAATTTTCATCAATGTCAAAATTAGAAGTTTGACAAATGGAAGCCTTCTTCCCAAATCTAAAAGGAAGAATCCGCCTTTTTGATTTGAGACCTCATGCTGTGAGGTCCGGTTTTGGCTCTAATAATTTTTAGGCAAGACTTTTTGGAATTTTGTGCCAGGGAAACTCCAATTAGACTAATTTCTTGTTGATCATTGTCTAAAGTTGTCCCTTGGTCATTTTGGATTTTGTTTCGGTGAGTGTTGAGATTTTCTTCAGGATTATTAACCTACAACACGTGTTTCATTTCTTCAATAGAATCGTTCCGAGCAGCTTTTGCAAGTTTAAGACTTCACTTTTGGTCTAGAGCATCCCTCAGTTAGAGGTAAGATTATTTCTAATGTTTGAGGCTCGATCTGTTTTTTTATACGAACATCGTTATAGGGTTCTAGGCTATATTTAGAAGATCCTAGGCTGTATTTAGAAGATCCTAGGCTGTATCTAGAGAGATTCTAGGCTGGGTCTAGATTGCTCTTAGTTGAGGCTTTGGTAGCTTCCCTGCAGCAACCCTTTTGGTACCACTCTGATAGAACCACATTGAGTTCTACGTTAAACAGATAAAACGTGGATAGGACTCCCATAGGACTCACTTACCATACCATAGTCCATCTACTGTGAGATCAAACATGTAGATAACCTCACTTTAGGAACTTCTGAGTTTACACATACATTTGAAGATAACTAACACTTGTATACATGTAAGTTGCACTTTATACTATTTACGCAAATCTTATATATATACCTGACACTGAATTACGTCAGTACGTGCCTCTTAAATAAAATTCTAGAATTTTTCCCTGAGGTTGCCCTAACAATAATTTTCACCTTTCTGATGTTAAATTTGCCTCTTGGTAGAGTGTAACTGAAATTGTGGTCTTAATCTTTCACAAGTGTAAATAAACAGTTAAAACTGTTTATTTTAAATTCATATATATATTATTTACATTCATATTTTTTCTATAATACAATATTTATAAATTTGGTATAAGCCTATATCTAAACACTTTTTTAATAACGTCCTGGCTATCCCTTTTTAACATTGTAATTATTTTAAATAAAGAAAGCCAGATACATTATTGTACCTAATTAGTTGTTTTATTGCTAAGCTCTCCAATTGCACAGGTTTTGTTTATGACATCATTAAGTAATCATCCTAGTTAAGTCACAATTAACTTGGTGGCGCCCAAAGGTAAGATGTATATAAGGAACCCATAAACCCATGGCCTCCGAACTGATGCTGACTAGCCGTACGCAGTATAATTAGGCAATTGCCAAATAAGTACGTTATAATATCTTCTGATTGCATGCAATTTCGCTTGGAAGATGCTTGGTGATTTGCCCA